TTTTATAAAGTTCCTCTTAGTGCACTAGAAAGAATACATTGACACAGTAACTACAGTGGCCAATTAGCATCAAAACAACTGTTTTTTAAAAATCAGAAAAAAAGGAAATGCATTTCTTCCTACAGCACGCATTATTAATTTGCTAATCAAGGTGACCCAACATATCTGCAGCTGTGCCTCCATCTTCCTTTACATGAGAGAAAGCAGAGAGCTGCCCAGCCTCAACATACTTCAGGGCAAACCATCCCAGTGCTTATTCAAACTAAGACAACCTCCCTTCATTTCAGCTGGAGACTACAGCAGCTGTCCCAGTAAAGCAGTATCTCACCTGCATCAGGTGCACACAGAGAACACACAACAGCTAACTCATAATGGCCACGTCTTCCTACAGTGGCAGCAGGCACTGTCACCCCATTTCTCCATTCTCCGTGACACTGCAGCAATGCTCCCATTTTAGAGCACAGCAATAAACACGGAGTTCAGCTGTGCTGCCAGTGCTCCTCTTCCTCCCTCCCTTGAACATCACAATCTTGGCAGAGAAAGCCATTGGCCACATACAGTGGCCCACTGCTGCCTGCACTTGTACAAAACAGTGACAGAGGACATTTGCACTGCAGTTCTCTGGATGTTTGAGGATGTGACTGTGGGAAGATCTGCTGCTTACAGTTTGTAGCTCTGGATGATAAGCTGGCATTTGGCTCAAGCACTGCAAACTTCCATGTTTAAAACAATGCAAAACAAGTTCTAGTGGCCACCAAGACTTCTGTGATGCGCCACAAGTCAGCAAGCAACTGATAATGCAGTAATATATCCAAAACCAATATTAGAAAGTCAAAGAAGCTTTGGGTGTCCTGTGCCAGCCATATCTTTAACAGGCATAACATTTCTCCAGCTAAAAGGAAGACCTGGGCCTTAGTTATTTGTATGTAAAGCTGTTACTTATCCAAGTCATGGCTGCTGCACTTCAAGCCTGTGCACACAGGATTCATTACATGTTCTGGCATTATCTATGCAGTGCTGCTTTACTGGTGTCTCACACAAGCAGACATTCAACTGCCCAGGCATGTGCTCACATACCAGTTCCATGTTGGCTGCAGCAGAGGTTATGGGGGAGCACAGTCATGAGCCCAGCAATCAACCTGCTTGTTGCAGAGCTGCTCTGCCTACAGGTCTGACACCTGGAAGCAGCTGCAGCAGCTGAGCACTTGATGTCCTCCTACTCCCCTTGAGGAAAGGAAGTGCCTTTTGCAGCCTTTAAACTGTCATTTCATCTTAAACTCACACCTCTTACACACTACTATTATTTTTGTGGCCCCTTATCAACGCCCAATCAGGCACAGAACTTGCCCTTTCCTATAATTTTACAAGAATGGATTTGAAAATCCCCTTGGCTGATCTGTTACACCAGCAAAGAAGCCCTTTCCATCGTCTCATCACTACTTAAAGGCCAGAGTGGCAGCGGCAGACTCAGATGGAAGAAACTGTCTTTGCCCTGCGTGGCTCCTATGACCAAGAATCGAAGTACTAAGAAAAGTTAGAGCAGCGCAGCACTAAAAATACCCTGGTAATAGCCTCTGCTGTACTTCCACAGCGCTCCTGTATTTCGGGGGTGCCAGCTACATGCTGCCGCCACCCCCTCGGGGCCACCGCTACTGTCCCCCCCTCGACAGGGAGGGCCACTCGTGCTTCAGCCCCTTCGCGAGCGCGGCGGGAGCGGGCAGGGGCCGAGCTGCAGGAGCAGGCAGGGTCGGCACAACTTTGGCGCCGCTCCGCAGCTCTCCCGCCGCTGTCGGCGGGGCTCTCGCCTCGCCCTCCAGCACAGCTCTTCTCCCGGGCTGCCCGCGGGTGCCGCCGTCCGCGCCGGGACAGCGCCGCCGCTCCCGGCGCCGGGCAGGGGCGGGCAGGGGCGGCCGCGCTCCTCCGGGGGCGGCGGGGACGGGGCGGGCCTGACGTCAGCGATGAGGCGCGAGCGCGGCGCGGGGGGGCGGCGCGCACCGACCGGCCGCGCCGGGAACTGCGGAGCGGCCCCGGCGCCGCGCCGCGCGCCCGGCCGCCCCGGGGACACCGAGCTCAAACCCGCCGTGCCCGCCCGCCATCCCGCGAGTCCCAACCAGCGGCGCTTCTCTCAGGACCGACCCGACCGCCGTGCTCTGGCCCGGCACGTTTCGTGGGGAGTTCCAGAGCGGCTCACGGCTCGCCGGGGGCCCGCTCGGCAGAGCAGTAGCACCCGCCAGCCCCTCAGCCTGTGCCCCAGACCGGCCCGCCCGGGACCCCGCTGCTGCCCCACGGGCGCTCCGCCAGACTGCCCCGGTGCCCCCGAGGGCCGGTCCCCGCCGCCCGCGTCCCTCTCCCCGCCATGCCGAGGCCTCTCCCCCACGAGATCCCTGCCCCGGCCCGGGCGGCGCCGGAGAAAGAGCCGCGGCGGGGGCGGCCGGGACGCGCACTCACCTGCCCAGGCGCCCAGCGCCGGCCCCACGGAGCTGCTCCCCAGCACCCAGACGCGGAGCCCGGCCAGCAGACGGTACGAGGCCAGCGCCGCCGCGTAGAGAGCGCCCAGCGCGCCCACCCAGTAGAAGAGGCCGGCGGCCGGGAGCGCGGCTGGAGCCACCATGCTGCGGAGGCTGCCGCGGCCGGACTGAGCCCTCCCGGCCACCGCCGCCCCGCAGCCGTCACGGCGCCCGCCCCCGCCCCGCCGCGATTGGCGGAGAGGCCTCTCAGCCAGCGGGTAACCCGGCAACGCGGCCGGGCGCGCCCGCCTGGGGCCGCCCGGCCCCGCCGCGCCGGGAAGGGGGGGGCAGGCCGCGAGCGGCCACACGCCCCCGTACTACTTGCGGCCTGCGCCCCACGTGGTCGGCACCGCTCTCCCGCCGCCATTGGCCAGCGGGCATGGCCGTCACCCCGCCGCCGCACTTTCATTGGTCCCTGTGCCCAGGAGCCCCACAGGATTGGTGGAACACGGGGCCTCCGCTCCCGCCCTGCTGACGTCATATGAGCCCATTCATAAAATGCTCAGGCTCCGCCTCGCACTCGAATGTGTCCCTGGGTTCCCCTCCCCCAGCCCCGCACTGCGCTCGCCCACGGAGGCGCGCCGCGATCGCCACGGCACGGCACGGCACGGCATAGGTCCGCAGGGACCCCTGGGCAGAGGGAACCCGCACCGGGGAAAGTCCGTCCCGGGAAAATGGGGCTGAGCACCACAGCCCAGCTGCCACTGCACCCCACGCACCGCGGGGCTGGCAGCGCTGTCCCGTCTGGCCGGCCTCTATCTGTCTTCCTCGACAAGATCCAGGGTCAACGGAGACTTCCTGAAATATTTCCCCTGAGCTCGCCACTTGTAGTGCCATGCCTTGTCTTGCCCTGCCCCGTCGCCTTTCACCTGCCCGCTTGACACGACCTCTCCCCAAAGCCCCACACACGATGGGGTTAGGAACACCTAGACTTGGGAGGAGTGTAGGAGACGCCTCTGAAATGACACACACACTGCGTCGGTGGCTCCTTCCATGGTGGTGAAAGGCACAAAGCTCTGCTGCCTTCTGTCCCACGTCCAGCCAGGAGGGTAGCTAGGGCCGTGCTACCCTACCTCACTTACAGACCCGGGTTTTGCCTCCCTCCCAGGCGGAGCCTGGCGCGGAGAGAAGATGGGACAATGTAGGCTGGAGGAGGCTGAAACCCTGAAATCGCTCATGGTTGAGCTGTATTGCCTCAAGAGGCTGAAACGGCAGGAGTGGCTGACAAACATGGACACTTAGTGGCAATTTCATGTAAGGTGTGGCTCAATTAAAATGTCAGAGAAGAACGGTTCAGGTATAGGGGACTGCTGTTTTTAAAGGGAGCCCCTTGCAACTTCCAGTGCCAACTTTTTTTTTTCTAGAAAACAAGCCTTTTATACCACTTATCTGACAATGACCTTAGGCAGTAAGAAACCTTCTCTGGATTAAGGTTTTTGGAGATTGGCATCCATCTGAATTATTAACAAGAAATAGCACAGGGGGTAATCTTAATGTTGCCTTTACTTTCTCTCCTGGACTGGCAAATAGGTCATACCCAAATCCAGCCAACTACTGCTGGAGATCTCCAAGCTGTACCAGCTGCCAGGCTGCAGCCATGTTCCCCTCATCCACTCCTTTGTCTTACTTGGCACATGCCATGCCGATGGCAGAGGCAGCCTCCAGGAGCCTTATCTGCCAAATCCTGGCACACCTCAGGCCTGGCTTCTCCTTGCTGCTCCATTCCTGCAGACCACTCATTGTAAACTTGATGGATTTACAAGTGCTCTACAATTTCTCTTTCCTCATCTCATTCTACATTTCCTAACCTTTTCTCACTTCAGAGTCTGGAAAGAGCTCATGTAAGGTGCCATCTTAATTGTTCCAGGTAAGCAGTATCCTGCATGTTGCACCTTGAGGCCACAACCTGACCATGGTGCCACGTGAATGCAGTTACAAGCACTATTGCCACTTCATATCTCTCATTTAGAAACAAGACACACTAGTATGACATCAACTACCTGATGCAAAGAACTGTAAATCCTGAGATACCTGAGGCTGCACTTTATGATCTTCTGACTATGCTAAAGGAAAAAAGACCAAAGAAATTAAATGAAAATTTGCCGTGATAGATTTTATCCTTTTTATTAGTTTAATAAAAATAAACATTTGCTACATTTCCTGCTATTAAATATATATACACAAAATAGCTTTTCACTCAAAAATACATAATTAATAGAAATCAAAGGCTTCTGTTCATAATCTGTGGAAAACAAATTCATAGTGGGATTCAAATTTCATTGGATTCAACAACACACTGCACTGATGTCAATTAAAGGCATGAAACTATCATACATTTTGAAATGAAAAATTAGTCAAGTCACTGTCTTATTTGCTGACCTATATCTTTACAATGGATTTTTAGAAATCAATCTTTATCATAAGCAGTAGTATCCCACCTAATAGGAAGGAACATGTCACAGGATTTTATCCTGTTCTACAACAGGAAGCATCCAATCCATCCTTCTAATATTAGTTCACTCCTTTTTTTTTTTTTCCTTTTGTCAATCCTTCATGAGAGGTGACACTGCAGAGGATCCAGCTCTCACCAAGTTTTCTTCCTGTGTTTTTCCCAAGAGAGTCCACCTATTGCTTACTGGACATCACTCTTATAATAGTGTGACATGCTAAGGCTAAATCCTGCAGGCGTTACACAAGGAAAATCCCTACAGGCCTCACCAAGTGTGTAGTTGATATAACACCCTCCAAAGACAGGACTTTGATTACAAAAAAGTGCAAAATGCTGGGATAATTTTCCTCTTGTTCCATACCAGCCTTTTCTTAATTTTTAATTTCTTCTATTGGCTGTCACAGCAGTTCTCATCTGTTCAGTTTTTGCAGAATAAATGACACACTGCTGATCTTCACTCTTTTGTCTTCCAGAGGACAGGTGGATATGGCACAAGCACCTGGAAAGAGAAAAGGTAGAAAACTGAAGCAAAGGATGGAAGGTAACAATGGTCACCAGACTCACCAAGTGTTTAGAACAAAAGTGGACTGGGCAGCTGGACAGTGCATGTAGAGGCTGGTGGAAAGGCTATGAGCCCTGGGCAATCTGCTGAAGGGAGCAGGCAACTTCCTACTGGACATTCATGTAAGCTGCACTGCAGTTACCAAGGGAATGCTTCCAATTACAAATGGGTCAGAAAAAGGGAAGGAAGTATGTGGGTGCTACGAAGGAGTTGTTGGTCTCTGTCAGAGTCTACCCATCTTTTATTATAACATCTCCTGTCCACTGCACTGCAGTTGTCCTGCTTCTGAGACCTCCTGTCTGAACAACCTTCTTGCTGCAGGTCAGGACAGAACCTGCCCCACTGTTCTCTCAGGGGGGCCAATAAACCCCTTGACAGAGAAGCACAGACAAAGCAAAGCAGCCCTCCATTTTTTTGTGTTAAAAAAATCATGCTGGTTATTCAAAAGTGTTGCTATTTTTTATGCTACCCTGCTTGGAGAGAAAGGCAGTCCTCTGAGAGACTTATAGTCTACATTTAGAAGAAGATGAGTCACAGGCAGGGAAAGGGATTCACTGGAAGGGAAAGAATTATACAAAGGTCAAATGAGGGGGTTTGCATCTCTTGCTTATGGGTATCACAGATTCCTGAGCAACAGGCATATCCCCCTTTCTAGGGTTAATCCTAGTATTCTCATGAGCTTTGCAGGTCTGTTCCCATTTGCTACAACCTGCTGCAAATCCCAAAGGAGCACCCAGTCGGCTGAGCTGATGGAACAGACAGGCATTTTGAGTGTACTCACACATCAACATGCATTCACATATAAGGATACCTTGCCAAGGCCCCAGAGATCCTTATTTCCACAGCCTCTTTTATCAGTTCAGGCATGTAGTCAGTTCCAGATGACTGCAGATGCAATCTGGGTCAGGGCAGTGATGCAAACCTCGGTCAGCCCACAGCTCGGCTACATCGCCCCATCATATGGATCATGGCTAAGCTGTACAGCAGATCACAACAGAGATGAGAGAGAAGTGTATAGGAAAGCTAAAGCAGTAGTGACATGCATGACTAAAAATGCAACAATAAGGAACAAAAGATAGGGACATAGAACTACATAGATTACAACATCAAAAGGAGACAAAAAAAACAAAAAATACAGCACAGGAGCAATAAAACACAATGAATAGAGGATAAAAGAGCACCCAATAAGAAGAAACATTCTATTTTTATTATGAAGTTTTTCTGTGATGTTGCTGCCACAAGTACCTCAGAAGCGATACACTTCTCAGTGACATTCCCATGTCTCCCTCCTGCCCCGCTCTCTCAGCACATGAGGAAAACACGTCTCACTACAAGTCCACACGTGAGGACCCAAGACAGTCCCTCACTGTCCCCACAGCGAGACCTGTGCTCAGCACTGGTCAGCACTCAGGAAGCCTCAGCACTGGGATCCACTTCTCATCCCAGCCTGCCCAGTGCTGCCAGAAATGCTGTCTGCTCTGCAGCAACCCTGAGACAGGAAAGGGGGACTGCTGGTTATCTGTGATGTGTCATGTTTTTTCCTGCCACCGAACAGTGTAGTCATTTGTTTCATTAAATGGCATTCTTGTACCCAGCACTAATTTTATCCCTTTACAAATATGTTTTTCACTCTAGCAACTCAAGAGCAGCTCTCCCCCCTGTACAGTCATTCTGCTCTCATGTCTCTCTTACCATTACTCACACTTATCGCAGTGAGGCCAGATTCAATAAAGGACCTGGCTGCTGCAGTGCTGAGCACTGCAGTGTGTCTTTGCCTAAGTCCATAGCCCCAAATTAAGACACCCTGCCCCATGCACACTAAAGGCAAAAATTAGAATACCTAAGAATGTAATCTTCATTGTCCATTCTGTTAAGGTGTCTACAAGAACCATTCAGACATGCCAACAAATCTCTCAATACACCTCATCAACTGCTGAGTTCATTGTAATGATGGGGTGAGGCAAGGTACCTTGTGTGGAATTCCAGATCTTCAGCTTTTCCTTAGGCACCTACTCCATCTCCTTGCAAGGGTCATGGTACCTCTCCAATTCCATGCACTATTTAGCATTCACTCAGGAGTTCAGGTTTCCCTCCTCTGCCTGAAAGGGCAGAAATTGCTTTAACAGCATGGCAGGTGTGCCGGGTGAGGTGATTTTGGTTGAAGCTGTTTCACAGCACACAGAATCATCACATCATAGAACCAGAATTGCCTGGTTTGGAAGGGACCTTAAAGATCCTGTACTTTCAACTCTCTTGCCATGGGCAAGGATGCCTTTCACAAGGCCAGGGTTCTCAGAGCCCCATCCAAGATGGTCTTGGACATTCACAGTGATAGATCATCTACAACTTCTCTGGGCAACCTATTCCAGTGCCTTGCCACCCTCAGTGGCAAGGTAACTGTTTTTCTTTCAGCTGTAATGATGGGAGGGAAACTCAGTGGGACTGGAGGGGCTGGAGCAGACATTCTCAGCCCCATCCTGTGCATACATCTTCAGCATATGTTAAAGTGGTGCATGTGGGCAACTACAGAAGCAGGTATTTATATAGCTCTCCTCCTTCCTGGCATGCTACACATGACGCAGGTGCTGGGGGTTCCATGGTTCAGACTTGGGCTTTGCCAGCTGGCTCTCGCTGTCAGCTCCTACAGTACAGGACTCCTGTGGGCCTAACATAAGGCACCTTGAGCTGATCAGCCCTGTTCTGCAGAGCTTGCAGGAAACAAGGGAGCCAGAGAACAGCAGGTTGAGAGAAAGGGAGGGAATTGGTAATATTAAGTGCCATAATAAATAACCAACTAAGCACAAATTTTGATTGATGTGTCACTCATCTGCAATTGCACACTTTTGGGTATAGCTTCTATGAGAAGGGCAGAAACCTGCAAGCACAAGGCAGCTGCGAAGCTCAAGTCTTAGCTTTGAAACTGAGCCAGCCAGGCATTTTAGGTTACCACACTGTGCTACAGCTATACATTCCTTGCTTCTCAAATAAACCTTGGGCATCAGCAATCTAGCCTGCTTCAGGGAATAAAGTCCCAAATTTCTCAACAACAAAACACTCCAGGCAAGTGTAGCAATGGAAGACAAACAGAACCTAAAGCCAAACAGTAGCTGGCATATTAACTAGTTGAGTCTACAGATTGCAAATCCAATGTGCCATGCAGATGTACACTGCTCTTTATAAGAAGGTCTGTTCAGTTTACCTTTCAAACGGGAAACAATACAAATGGTACTACAAACTTCTAGTACTGGATACAGGGATTTTTCACTTTTATCTACTATGGATTGACAAGTGTGTCTCCTGTTAAAACTCAAAATTGTGCTTTTTGATGCTATTCCCTGTTTAGAGTTCTCAGAATAGATTGCAATGGGGGGCTCCAGATCCTCTTACTATGCAAACCAAGGAAAGGCTTAGTAGGACATGCATATAAAGTGGGGATTGGGTTTTATAATCACCAGCAATACTGGAAATCAAGTACTATTAAAAAAAAAATTCTAGTAGTCGTGCATGCTGCAAATCCAAGTATTTACTAGAGACATAATATGGCCATGACAACAGATTACTCTTTTTCAATCCTACAACCCACTGAAATATATTGATTTGAGCTGAAAATATCATCTCTAGAAATGAAATGTTGTTTGCTCATTGTTTAATCCTTGATGTCTCTTCTACCTAGTTTTGTAACTGTAGATAAGTGTTACAGACACTTGTCCACATCAAATGAACAAAGTTCAGGAATGCATGGCACTCGCACCACTGCAAACACTGTCATCTTGCATGATACATGCACTTTCCGACCCAGATGGAGGACTATACTTGGTACTAAATCTCTGTCTTCTTATCCTTTTAAAAAAATCTGTAGTCCTCAAGTGTTGCCATAAAGGTCCACATGCCAGACAGTTCTGGTGCCCCTGCCAAAACCCAGTACTTGTAGAAGACTTTGTCTTGGCTACTCCCAGTATTTCACAAACATGAATTCCACTTTGAATGCCTGTTAAACAAAATGTATCATTCCTAGGGGAAATGTGAGGGCAGAAAGTTCAACTAAGTCCCTACTGGGGACAGCAACTGCGAGCAAAAAAAGTATCTCAGATTGCTATCTATCTTTAAATCCCAATTATGCATCTGCATATTATTCATCCAATTCTCTTTATTTCTTTAAAATGTTTAGATTCCAGACATCCTTAAGACTTTTACCATTGCAGAGTTAACCATTGAAATTGACATTTCAAGACCACCATTTTTGAAAAACAATGTAGGACCAAAGACACCAAAATAATGTTTTCACATAGAAGGCTATCTATTTAAGGTGTGTAAAATGCTATCCCCCTCTGGCAACTTCAGTGGAAATCTGAAGATTTACAGAAGCAATGGCCTGGCTCCAAAGTATTCCTACAAAAAATAATTAAAGCCAAACAATTAGCAATTAAAAAAACAACCCAAAGAGTACTGCTGCAGGCTGCAGTGAGCCCTCCCTTTCTGAGTCTACTGACACCAAACCAAGCCCTGCCATACTCTGATTCTGTTCAGTGTGTGGGTTCCCAGTATTCCTATATATTGATTCTGTTACTTCTACTCATCAAGCCAGCACCTGCAGCAAAACAGATATATGTTTATACATGCATCTGCGTGAGCAGGCACGTGTACATGTTCCCTCCAGATGTGGTTACATAAAACCACCAAAAGAATGGATTTGGCCTGCTCTTAGTGACAGCAGTAACACCTTATTTGTTTAATACTAAAATATGTGCTGTTCTGCTTTTGTCATTGAGTCACGCAAATGTCATTATCAGCCTTATCATGTGAATGCTGCTCACTTCCATGACTTTGCTCCCCCAATCAGTGTTATTTCCATAGCCATAATACAGCACAGGAGGACTAGAAACAAGTGATGCCAGTGGAAGTACCTCTTCTAGTGGCAGAAAGCCTTGTAGGATGACATGGGCTAAACAGGTCAGAAAATGCTTCTCTGCTGAAGGCCTAACACAGAATTCCTACCATTTCAATGGGAAGTCCACAACTTCTTCCAATTCAAAAAGGTTAAAAAAGAATCTGCAATGAATAGGAATTATTTTCTTTAAATAATCATATTCATAATAGAAGAAGAAACTAACTTTCAGGAATCTGGCTTAAATAACAACCAAGCATGTTTCATTCCACACTCACACCATCACTCTGTGGTCACACTTCTGCCCTGTAAGTTTCAAGATAAATATCTATAGTTCAAATCCCACTTTACAGGAAAAAAGTACAAGAAACCAGTTAGAAATACTACTTCTTTTTTCTTTCTTTCTTCTTAGTCATTCATACTGTCTCATACCAAATGAGCCATTTTCATGACTTGTTCACCTCTAGGCATATGAAGGAAGTTTAATTCTTATAATCAATTCACTCTTTGCTTCAGCAACTACTGAAAGTGCCAGTGGTAGCACTTAATGCATAAATTGATGATTGGATTGATTCTATCACTTAATTTTCTATTGACCACTGAACAGGAAGTTACCTCCTTAAAACTTATTATTTCTATTTGAATAATCTGTTACAACTGTGGACTGAAAAATAAAATTAAAATGGATGACTGAGCAATGATTGCTTAACTCCCTGCCCTGTGGAGATTTCCCAAAATCCAAAATGCCAAGTAAAAATCTAAACTGTCTACCTAGAGGACAGCAGCTTTGCTGAAAAGCAATGTTCTTTAATCGTTAGGTTCTTCAGTTAATTCTTCAGTACTGCACTAAGTGCTGTATGTAAAATATATACTATGCAAAAGTCAGGAAAAAAAAAAGACACAAGGTCTTAGGTAGCATCCCAAGGCAGCTGATTATACATACATTTTAGAATGCAACATTGTCTTGGCCTAGATGCCTAAAAACTCACCTAAAAATTGTTCCATTAAGACTCCTATAAAGTAGCCCATCTAGGCACAAGAAGTCAGGTAGCACTGCATTAATTCAGCCATAGTGTCCAAACCAAACAGAGTTCAGAGCAAAAACAACCAACATATCCATCTCAGCATCCATTGATACACAAGAATCAAGAATGCAGTATTATGGGAGGTGATATCCAGGATTTCCAAGTCAAATTCCTCACCACTGTACCGGACCCAACACTGATGTTCTTTCCTGGATATATCCAACTTCCTTCTAAAATAAATTTGAACTTGTTTCTCATTTGAAACCATTCCAGAATATCGTCAGTCTGTTTGTTAGAGCTCTTCCTTCAATTTCCAGCAAAGTCTAACAATTATCTCTTTTACACACGTTTGTTTTGCTTTATTCTAATCTTGAGTTCATATAATTATTTTCCTTCCTTACATAACAGTGTAATTGTCACTTCTGCGTCTTTCTGTTAAGCCTCTCTATTCCTCTTAACATCCATGTGGGTCCTTTTCTGCATCTGTTCCATCCATCTGTTTGAACCCATTTATCTGAATGTGGGTGATAGTTGGGCTCCACATAAGGTCTTACTAATGCCATACACTTTGACAGCAATATTTTCTGTACATAGAGGAAATACATCCCTTAACACTTCCTAGGACACCATCTTCTTTTATTATTATTTTCTCAGCCATGTCACATGCTATCATTCTGCTGCTTGTTACACCAACTACCAACCTGTCACTGAAGTGACAGAATAAATCGTGAGCAGTTTCTCTTTGCATCACTAAATCTCATCTAATTCTATTAATCTCAATTTTGATTCATCATGTCAGCACATGGATATTCCAATCCTCCTATCAATACAGTCCACCAGTTGTGTGTCGTAAGATTTTATCATTGTTGTATTTTTTCACTAGTGTCACTAAGGAGAGAATTCCAATAGTCCTCAAAACCTCCACTTTGCTGCCTTCTTTCCATCAGTATAGTCTCTTTCCACATATTATCTGTCAGTTCATTCCAAAGTCACCTTACAATACAATTAATCCAATTTTTTTGTTTTACATGATTTCCTCACATGGTACAGTATCAAAGTTCCTCACAATGAAACATAGGTAGTCTGGCAGTCTTGTTTTGCTAAAACTGCTGCATCTCATCTCACCTTTAATTTCTCTGTGATCTTATTTTGCCCTTCAAAAATTGTCCTACAGCTAAGTGCACCATGGCTGCCCGATGAGATCATCTCTATTACTAACCTTGTCCTTCCCTTTGGGTACCCTCAACTATTTGACCCCCTTTATGTGTAGCTTCCACTACTAATAGTACAGTGTTTGCAGATAGATTATAAATTTTTGGCAAGGGAATATACTGTATTTATTGTACTAAAGCACAAATGCAGTGCTAATGCATTGCCACTGAAATAAAAAAGCAGAATCTAGGAAAACCTACTATTGTAAAACTAGAAAAGCAATGGTTAGAATGGGAACAGAGTAGGCCATACACTAACAAGTTTAGAACACCTTACAATACATTAATCATATTTCTCTTGCCTGCATCTTTTCTGCTTTCTTTTGTTCTGGACTTGCTGATTTTGCATCTCAAGCCATCTTCACTAGCTTCACTCTGAAAGTCCAAACCATGAGAGTTTATAACGCTGGCACTGACGGCACTTATCCCTTTTCTGTGACTACTCAACAATTTCTTTCATAAGCAAAACAACACAGTGATTGCAGTGATTCCTCCATTTGAACAATATCTTCCCTTGAAAAAACCCATACATTTAATTTCTTTGTTTTCTTTCTTCTGAGAACCATCTATGTATACTTTAAGAATTGTATTTCAGGTGATATTCATTGGCTAAATCTGACATGCTTTCTGACTCAAAAATGTTTGTAGAGCTCCTCACATACCTCTTGCAGAAACTAAGCAATAGAAAAAACTCCTTTTTATGTTGTTGTCTGACCTCAAGAGTGTAATTTTCTCTGCACTTTATTTATTAGTTAAAAAATAAATTAGTCTTCTAAATCTCAGGATTACTATTAGCAAGGAAAATAACCTCACAAGAATATTTCTATTCCCAAGAGAAGTTTAAGTATATTCAGCCCCAAGTTCAGCTGTGGATGTATGAGACCACTGTCTTTCAAAATCTGCTTCCAAAGTAAGGAGTAAAACAAAAATACACAAACAAAATTTACTAAATCCACTTAGACTGATTTATTATTTGTGATTCCTTTGATACATAGAGTAACTTATCCCCAGTTAATTAACAAGTTACTTTAAAATATCAGAAGGTTTAACAAACACTGACTTCGCACTATTGGCATAAATTAAATTAACGCGTAGTGTTAATTGCCTCCTTTTTCTTCCCTCCCCGCTTTGTCTCGAGAGAAAATACCCCTTTATCAGGTAAACTACCAAATCCTGTTTGCTTCTTGGGTTTGTCCCGTAACTTCAACGAACTTCAGCACCTCCATGCACGGCCATTCTTACACTTCACATTTAAAAAACTCAAAACGAAAAAACCCCAGCCTGGAGATGAAAGCATCCGATCCCTTCCTGCCGCGTGCCAGCCGTTGCTGTCCGCGCAAAGCACCCGTGTGCCCTGGGCTGGGTGCGGAGCTCCGCGCGAGTGGAAGCCGAGCCCGCCCCGCAGTGCCCGGCGGCCGGAGCCTCTCCGGGCCCCGAGCGGCCGCCGGTGCGGCGGGGCTGCGGCAGCCCCGGAGCCAGCGCGGCCGAGCCGCCCGCCTGCTGCAAGCGAAGCCAATCCCTCTGGGGAGGAGGCGGCTCCGGCCGAGCCCCGCCGGCCCGGGCTGCTGCCCCACGGCCCGGCCCGGGCGCGGAGCCGCCGGCACCGAGGGGCGCCGGGAGGCCTCGGCGCCGGGCCGCGCCTCGGCTCCGCCGATACCGGGGCTGGGCAGGCCTGGCCGGGCACCCCAGCACCCCCGGCTCCGGGACAAAGCCGCCACTGACCTGCCCGAGGCCGCTGCTCAGGGCGCGGGGACAGCGCCGGCGCTCGCAGAGACACCCGGCCGGGCGCGGGCCGGCCCAGCGCGGCGGCGGGGCGCGGGCGGGCCGGGCCGGAGCTGCCGCCCGACGCGGCGGCCGCGGCCCCGCCGCCGCAGAGCGGGCGGGCGCCGTCACGGCCGCTGCCGGCGAATCGCGGCCGCTGCCGGCGGCTCCCGGCATGCCGCGGCGCCTACAGCTCCCGCCGGCCCCCGCGCCCGCCGCCTTAACCCTCTGCGGCGCCGAGCCGCCGCCGCCGGCCCGCCCGGCCCCCGAGCCGCTGCCCGCGGCTCCTTCCCGGGACCCCGGCCCGGCGCCCCCGAGCCCCCCCGGAGGAGCCGCGCCGCCCCGGCTCGCCGGCGGAGCTCGCTGCGAGCGGCCCGGCCCGGCCCGGCGGCGGGCCGCGGGCATTGTGCGGCGTTTGTGTGCTCCGCAGTGATTGCTGTCTGCTCCCAGCCACAGCTGTTTGTTACTGGCATCAGCTGCCCGCTCCCTGCGAAATAGTAAAAAGCAGGTGAAATACCTTCATCTAGCTGGTGGGGCTTTAAAAAAAATTCCTTATTTATGTTTGAGGAGGCAAATTGTAATAAGCAAATTAACTCCAAAATAGCTTTACAACCCCCAGAAAACTTCGTGACAAAGTTCCTAGGAAATGCCAGGCTATTCTGCAGTGAAACTAATGTAAAAGTCAGTCACATACTCGTGTTCTGCCCTCCTTCCCATACACTCTTTATACAGGTGCTCAGTATACGTGTGACTAACACATACAGTACTTTTACATCTCCTCTCTTAAAATAAGTAGCAAACAATGCGCATGCAACTACCCTGCAGGGAATTAAAAAAGATCCCGGAGAGTCAGACTCAGTTTCTGAAGTCAGTGAGGGACAGGGGCAGATAGCAGAAGTCCAGGCAAAAGCAGCACCTCAGAGTAAAACCCTTGAGTCTCACCCAGCCCCCCTCCACAGCTTGGCATCGCACCCCGAAACAGCCCCTGCACACATGCAGACCTCATCCTCTACTCTTCTATTTTATTTACAATTTTTTTTAATGAAAGCATCATGCAGCAAATAAAAGTCAAATAGCTCCAATTTGTAATGCTACAGACTGTAACATGCTCAGACGTGTAACTGCCTGACAGACTACACAGAAATCTAGCTTAGGCTCCAACCTCTGAAACAAATGCAAATATCCAGAAACGTTCTCCTATTTCTCCAATATTAAATTACAAGTAAAACAAACTTATTGCCAGATTTTTCATACAAATACATCTTTTAAAAAATTAAATCACTACAAACTTATTATTTATTTCAAACTATAACCAGAGAGGAAAGAAACACATATACGTTTTCCTTTTTAGAAAAGAAAAAAGTAAACTTATCTATGAGAAAAGCCCACACATAGCTCCTTTTTTTTTAAAGTTCATTTTTTAATACCCTGCCCCTGAAATCAGCCTACAAGCCCATTGATTTATCTAGAGAAAACACAATTGGAAAACCTTTTTATGTTACACAGTTTTTGGACACTTACAGGAGGTTTTTAAAAATAATTCACAGTCACACTAATCCAAACAGCACAAATACAATTACTTAGAATTTATTCTTTACTGTGGTAAATTTTACTTTGGTATATTTTTCAGAATTTCCTGGGAAAACACAGTCAGTCCCCATCTAGCTTAGCGCACCTACACTGTTACCTCTTTCTCTATATTTTGATTCACAAATCAACCATTAATATTTTATAAGTGTTTACATATACATAATAAAGTAAGAAGAACAAGAATACCATGAGAAAAATGCTCAAAACCAAACTGAAGGTGTAAATGACCTCCTGCCATGTTCCAGACGTACCTACAAAATCCCTGCTTGCTGGTACAGGATTATACATTCCATTATAAGATCAGTCTTTTTATATTTTGTACTATTTTAACACCCTAAATTTATAGATTTTTAAAATTGGCATGTTAAAAGGGCTTTATTTAAGAATTTCAATGAAAATTGTGTTATGTTTTGTCATATTACCATAATCCTTCTTTTTAAATCACTTAGAATTTTAGTATAACCTAATTAAGTAATTTTAAGTAAGTCTTAACCCAAATACATAGATCTAATAAAAATGTATTTTGCAAACAGGGAAAATAGACTTCTGAAATGGATTCCTCAGGTATGAACAAAGATGCTGAAACATTTTCTCCCCACAAACTTTGAGATCTGAACTATTTCACGGCAATTATATTTAAAATCAAAATACTTATAAGAAAACAAATTTCACCAAATATCTAGCATAATGTTTCATTCCAATTGTATTTATTTATTCCTTTTATATTTAAAAGAAATCCTTCTATTTTTCTTGAGAAGAGAGAATAGGGGAAGAAAAATACTTAAAATCCTAGCTACCTATCTGCACGTACTATTTATTTCAAAACTCTTCTAACAGCAGTTTATACTTTATTTTAGATAATGTATATTATTTTGCCTGTAAAAATATTATTATTTAGATTTATGCCTTTTCAAAGGCTATAGAACAACATTTTAGATTTTAGAGTCTTCTAATCATCTTTAATCTCTCACTTTTTTCAATGCTACAAACATCCTATTTGGTAAATGGAATTTATATTTTTCTCTTGTTCTAATTATCAGAGTTGAATCAACAATTCAAACCAGGAAGAACAAGTGACGTACCATAACACAATAGCAACTCCAACACTTTAACACAGCTCCTCTATGTATTGGTGTACAAAAAGCTTACACAAAGTATAAAATATCTCAAAAATACAGACTCTTTCCTGATCAGAAAATTTTACTATTCACTAATTGACCTCAAGCAACTGCATTTTTCTCAAAAACCATCCTACCTAGAGCTTTATGCCATTTACTGACTCTTGCTTACCAGCATGCTTTAAAACCAAGTCTCGGCCCTTCAGCTTAATCAGACCAGACTACTTTTAATTGCTGCCACATCAAATATATTTATCAACACAATAAAACCACATGCAATTAGAAAGAACTATTTTTTCTAGCCCTGTCTTTGACCAACCAGAGATTGTAGCATCTACTTTCAATTTATTAGCTGTTCTAATATGAAGCAAACTGAAACACACAGCACAGTTCACAAATACATTGATCTTTCTATAATATCCTATCATTTGCATCTTTTAATGGGAAAATCCTGTATACCACTGTCAGCACTGCTGTTCTCCTGCAACCGATCGGACATCAGAAAGACTTGGCATTAACTTCCTTCCCTCACAATACTTTGCCTCCTCACCTCTCTCAAAATAAAACAAAACTATCTATGTTTGTCTGAAATGTCAATAAACACCAAAATCTAAAGGGCCAAAAGGTCAGGTATTATTTAATCTGAACAGAGAAGTTATTTTTTGTCTCTCTCTCAAGCCATCAGTAAGAGCAGGTTACCTGAGAAGAAATGCCCATGTCCCTTGGACGTCTGTCCTTCTGTCCCAGAACAGGGGCTGTGCCACACTGTAACGTAAGAAAGAATAGATTAAAATTGTTGTATGCCCAGGCATATTTTTGCTCATTCAAATTATCTGACCCTCAAAAAGCTTTATATCTTTTCGTCTGAAAAGCATTTTAAAAACTCTTATTACATTCGAGTCTGAGTCCTCAAAATTTGTTTTGATAAGTCAGGTACACATGTCAAAAATTAGCTCCATACATTGTCAGTTGAAGTACCAGATTCCCCAGGCCTGTTTTTCGGTTCTTAGATGCCTCTATATCACTGCATCCTCAGTCTCATTAGCAATATTTAATCTGCAAGTGGCATGATCTTATATTTAAATATATATATATATTTTTTTTTTTTTTTACATACACTGAAAATTTTTTAAAAGCCATTTACATGAGGGACAAAATCCTGAAGTATTTCTTCCCACAGCAATTTTTCCCTCCTCTGCTTTAGAAGTTGAATACCTTCCCAGATAAATATGGTATTTGCTTTACCCATTTTTCTGTGATTTCTATTATTTTGTACTTACTTCTGATGCTGCAGAATTTACATAGGCCTGTAGTTTTGAAACTTATATCTCCTCTCTCCACCTGTGAGGTTGATACCAGCTAAAATCACTGTCTATACATCATCCTAGCCCTACCACTTTTCCCTTTAAACTTTTCCAAACACATGTGAGAGGGAAAAAAATGTTTAAGATAATGAATACAAATTCAGTGTGCTAAATTAAAAAAAAACAAAAACATCTTTCTTCAGTTTGTCATTTAAAAAGCATTATCAACATAAATCATGGTCAGAAAGCCTCAACACTGTAGGGCGTAGTATTCATGACTAAACTTCCTTAAAAAAAATCTGTCATTTCATACCCTTTTTCTTCCATGTATTTACCTTCCTCATACTGCTTAGATCTATAGCAGACTGTTGCCACACATGTATTTTTACACACAATTTCCTAGACACTGACAAATGTGAAAAAAGGAAGAATTTTGCACAAAGTTAATTTATCTAAACCACTTATTTCCTCCATTCTCTCTTTTTGTCCATGGCATCCAATGTTTTTTTTTACCCTGTTGTTTTGTTTGGTATTTCCCCACTTTCCTGTACATTTGTCTGCTTCTGACCCTACTAGACTGGGCAGGAAGAACTGAATGTCTGTCTCTCCGCATTGCTGCACTGTTATTTTTTGGTTTTTTTATCAATTAAATTCATCTGACCATCATTTTCATATATTTTTAAAGATACTTTTTCTTTTTCTTCTCTAGAAACTTTTTCATTACAGTCACCAATACATTTGTAAAGCAAAGTCAATTCTGTCCTGCTCCAGCACATGCTTCTGTCATAATCTTATGGGTACATGACTTACAAGTCTGTGATGCAATGCCTACAAAAGGAAAATGTGTAAGAAAAAGAGGGTAATGTATAGAAATGTCCCTAAATATTATAAAGAAAAAAATTGACATTTTAAATTGGTTCTGACTTTTTAAAGAGATACCATCATGAGGAAACACCTATCTTGGGGGAAATGTTCATCTACATCACTAGTAACACTTTTTTCACACTAATAAAAGTTAAGGAAATTTTAAAATTCAAATTCAGTTAAGCATCAGCACTTTAGGATTTCTGCATTTCACTCAGCCTGGGAAAGGGAGAGTTGCCTGTTGGTTTCACTTTTATTCTCAGCTAGTTTCACTTTCACACACTGGCAGAATCTTCTATGTTTTTGGTTCAGCAATGTTTAAGACAACATTTACATCTTTAAACAATCCTCATTATACTTTTAGTATGGACAATTTGTGTCCATCTACTTCCCAGGACACTAAGAAAAAGTAATTTGTGAGCCTAAATATAATGGGTGGCATACTTCTAAAGCAGTAGCTTTCACTTACAACTCCTGTTGGGTTATAGTCTGCTCTTTCTTTCCCTGAAATCAATAGGAAATGTGCCAT